TGGGCACACACGCACATGCACCCAGCGTGAGTTTAAGCCACCGGGTCCGAGATGTGAACCGTGGTCAACTATGTGGGAGTCCAGCGACATAGCCATTATGCTAACTGCTGGTCCCGCTGGGTATAGTGTTCTTGGTTGAAATTGTTTTTCACTCATCACTTTGAATATATTTTTCCATTCTTTCCTTGCTCACATTATTTCTGATGAGAGGTCTGCTGTTAGCCTGATGGGATATCCTTTGTAGGTAACATGATGTTTCTCTCTTGCCAGTCTGAGTATCTTGCCTGTCTGTGGTTTTGGTCAGTCTGGCTATAATGTGTCTTGGAGAAGATCTTCTTGGGTTGATCTTATTTGGGGCCTTTTGTATTTCTTGGGTCTGGATCTTTGAATGCCTCTCTAGCTTTGGGAAGTTTTCTTTCAGGATTTCATGGAATAGATTGTCAATGCCCTTATTAGTCTCTTCACCTTCTGGGATACCAATTATCTGGAAGTTTGAATGTGTAATGGTATCTAGTATTTCTCATATATTATTCTCATTTTGGGGGGCTATTTTCTCAGTCTTTGTGTTGGATTTTACTAGTCCAGCGATCCTGTCTTCTACATTTGAGATTCAATTTTCTGTATGATCTAGTCTGCTTTTAATACTTTCAAAGGAGTTTTTGGCTTTCTATATTATAGCCTTCATCTCCGAAAGTTCCATTTAACTCTTTTTTATGGTGCATATTTCCTCTTTCAGCTCTCACAAGAAATTCCTCACCTCCTGGGACTCATTGGCTTTTTTCTTCTGGTGTTCATTGTCCCTCTTCTCTTCCATCTCTGTTAGTTTTGTCATTATGAATACTCTAAATCTTTTATCAGACATTTCCATGATTTCCATTGTACTGTCTATGGATGAAGAGGAGTTATTCTTTTCCCTAGGGGTGAGGTATTTTCTTGGTTTCACATATTTCTTGTGACAGTGTGGTGATTTCTAGCCATCTGACAGGTTATCCATTTCTTCCTAAATTCTAGAAGATCAATCTGAGCAATCAGAGATGCACAGGAGGATGTGGTCTACAAACTCTTTGTCATTGTGTTTTTCTCCCCAGGGTAGATTCTCAGCAGAACATCTTCATTGCTCTTATCTCTGAA